CTGGACTGGATGAGCTCAAAATGAGATCAGAATATTTCTGAAAGTTTGCATTAATAATCTTTATTTAGTGATTTCGTGACTTTTCATAGTTGCAGTTGAAGCTGTGCAGATTCAACATGTATCTGACTGTTTGACTGCAGCTGTTCTGGAAACTTTTCTCTTAAATGAACGTTGATTTCTTCATTTTGGACCTGAAAATGTTTTCTTTCCCTCATAAAGCTGTGAAGTGTTGAATAAAGTGCGTCTTGTTTGTCCTGACATGTTTTCATGCAGAAGACTTCTCTGATGTGAGGCTGCTTTCTTTGATTGGACTGAACTCTTCATGTCGTCACATTTTCTTTGAATCCACATCAGTCAGAAAGAAACAAAAGTCAAAAGTTCTTCTCCCAGCTTCTCCTGGAGACAGGAAGTCACCAGGTCAGGAAATCAGCTGCAGACAGTATGGCTGTGTCTCAACTCGTGGACTGGGTCCTCATGAGTGCGCATTTGTCGGCCGCATACATCACTGCCCTGCAGAGTACTGTCCCAATTCGTCGATTCCTCCTCATGCGGCCAAGGATTGCAGCCGACAAACTCTCGAAATCTGATGATGCATCTGTGTATCTTCACCAGCCGAGGATATCCCAGGTTTCAATGCGTGGGTAGCAAAATAAACAGAGAAACGAAGACTGGAGTTTTTTTAACGAGTCGGCGTAGTTTGGAAATTCACCACGGACTGAAGGATTTGTTTTTAAAAGTAAGCTTTAGCAACTTTGCTGATTAAATTTAGGCTGTAAAAAGATGTTAAATTAAAAAAAATGCACCTACAAGTACAGTTACTGGAGCTAAACCCTCTTTATTAATATTTTTATTTATTTACGTGTAACATTTTAACTGTGAAGTTATACTTCCTTTAAAAAGATGTGCAAATACACATCCCAAGGCATTTTAAGTCTGATATGATACTGATCACTATGGTAACGGGGGAGTGCGTGGTCACGCAAACTTACGTAAGCCAACCAGACGAAGGGTAGACTGTCTCATTTCCCTGGCCTGGGGAGGATGTGGCCCACGGACCCAGCTGGGCTTCGTGCTCATGAGGACCCAGCCCATGAATTGAGACACAGCCTGTGTCTAGTAATTCTTCGGTCCCTGATGAATTTTAAAACTACGCCGATTTGTTAAAAAAAATTTAAACTTTGCCGTCTTTGTTTCTCTGTTCATTTTGCTGTCAGCGCATTGGATTCTGGGATATCCTCGACCGATGAGGATACTCGCATGCATCCTCGGATTTGAGAGTTTGTCAGCCGCATGATGAGGAGTTGACGAATAGGGACCGTGCTCGGTGCAGGGCAGTGAGGTATGAGGCTGACAAATGTGCACTCATGAGAACCCAGCCCATGAATTGAGACACAACCTATCTATGACATCTGCAGACAGGAAGTCACCTGCAGAGAGACTATATGAAAATACAACTTCATCAGTCTCACTGCCCAGAGGAACTTCTTTTTTTTTTAATATATAAAATGCGGAATTTAACAAGTGTGTCCCATCTCTCCCCTTTTTATTATAATGGCTGCAGTGATGCTATCAAATTATATTTAAAAACTTTAATATTGTTCCTCCTAATATATTAGGTAGACCATTCATCATTGGTCAATTAGTGGATGACACTACTATTTTTATGAAAGCTGTAAATGAGACACCTTGATGAGATTCACAATATTCCAATCAAAAACTCTGTCAAATATTTAGGTATACTTGTTTCTAAGAATTCAGAAGAAAATGGAAAAACAAAATATGTGTAAGTTTATTGACAAATGTCAATCCAGATTCAATTTGTTGGTTGTTAAGAGACATTAGTCTGGTAGTGTAGAAAATAAATGCACTATTCCAGAGGTGTCAAGTAACTACGTACAAATACTTTGTTATTTTACTTAAGTAGTAATTTTGATTATTTATACTGTAGTGGAGTAGTTATTTTTCAGCCTACTTTTTACTTCTACTTCTTATGTTTTAATTCAATTATCTGTATTTTCTACTCCTTACTTTTTAAAAATGCAAAAAGTATTTCATTTCTATTTAACTTTGACTTGTTTTTATTCCATCTTTTCATTGTTCAGAAATAAATAAATAAATATACATCTATCCAGATACATGGAGCCCTTGGATAAAGTGAATTTGATTGTGGTTGGGCAAGAAGTGTAAATATAAACCATTCTGATATCCTATTGGTTTGAGCTCACTCCATCACACCTGTGTGACACAAATCACATCACATTCCAGCAGGACAAACTGTAGCACAGTCATTTCCAACCACCCCTTGTGTTACGCAAGCATATTACAGGGGGTACGTGGAAAAAAATTCCCAGGTGCACAAAAAAAAAGTAAAAATAGTAATGCAGAAATCACAGATTTGACACAAAATGGAATCCAGTATAAAAAGCAGAATCTCACAGAATTTGCTCATTTGGGTAAGTTACTGATGTACTGTATTATGGATGGTACAATGTACAGTATTTTGGACATTGCACTTTTCTGCACCTGACATTACCTGGTTTACTTATTTAATTACTTATTCACTTTCAAGGCAACATTTTTATCTTTATCTTTAATCTTTCTTTGAAAATAATAAAATGCCTGAGAATTAAATGTTCTAKGGKGTTAAATAAATAACTTTCATTTAATAATCAGTTGTTGTACATACTAAATTTGGAGAATCATCATTACATTTGACTGAAGGGGTACTAGTGGTATTAAAACAAGGCTTGGGGTAAACATGTCTAAAAAGGTTGGGAACCACTGTGGTAAAAGATGTAGCCTAGAATGAAGATGATCATGGCTGAAACAAGAAGTCTAGACCAGTGTTTCCCAAAGTTGGGGTCGGGACCCAAAGTGGGGTCCTGAAAGATCAAGGTGGGGTCCTGAAAAGATTTTCTGAATTAATTACATTTTTGCCTTAGTTGTTACAAAGGAGTGAGCTTAGTGTATGTAACATGGATAAATGTAGTATAAAAATATTGTTACTATGCCCATGTTTTGTTGACCTGATACAAATGTTTATCATCCAAAAATAGTTGGAGTCACAGGTCTCTGCTACTGTTATTTTGTGGGTCAAAAGCTGAAAAGTTTGGGAACCAATGGTCTAGACTAGCCTGGCCCTTGCCTTCCTGGTTCTGCTCAATTTTAGTTTCCCTTCACTGCTCCGTCTGGGATTTCTCCCATAGACAAGGATTTCTTCTGGAAATTTTACCTGGGCCAATCAGAGAACAGAACGTCAATTTTCTGCACAGTGTCTGCTTGTAGTTTATTTCAACTGGACCAATCAGCAAACAGAAGGCGGAGTTTTTACCTGGGCCAATCAGAGAACAGAACGTCAATTTTCTGCACAGTGTCTGCTTGTAGTTTATTTCAACTGGACCAATCAGCAAACAGAAGGCGGAGTTTTGAACAATGTCGATTTTCTGTGCTGTGTCTGCTAGTTAGTTTAGCATACGGCTCAACCCACGTCTTCCGCTTACATGGAATCTCTGCCGATATCGTCTCTGACCGAGGACCTCAGTTCGTGTCCCACATGTGGAAGGCCTTCTGTAACGCCTTGGGTGCTAAGGTCAGTCTCTCGTCTGGACATCACCCCCAGTCTAACGGACAAACAGAAAGATGCAATCAGGAGTTGGAGGCCACACTCAGGTGCGTTATAAATAATAATCCCTCCTCTTGGTGCCAACATTTAACCTGGGTGGAGTATGCACATAATTGTCACACTTCATCCGCTACTGGTTATTCGCCCTTTGAGGCTTCCCTTGGGTATAATCCTCCACTGTTCCCCAGAGATGAGGTTGATATTATGGTTCCATCTGTTCAGCATCACCTCCAGCACTGTCGCCGAATATGGAATCAAACCCAAAGGGCCCTTCTACGAACCACACAACAGAACAAGAAGTTTGCTGACTGCCATTGCTCTGCTGCCCCCTCCTATCAAGTGGGACAAGAGGTATGGCTCTCCACACGTGACATTAACTTAAAAGATTTCCCTAGAAAACTCTCCCCCAGATTCATCGGTCCATTTCCTGTGGAGAAAATCATTAACCCAACTGCTTTCAGGCTACGCTTACGTGCTGCTATGAAGATACATCCCACTTTCCATGTCTCACAACTGAAGCCCGTCTCCACCAGCCCCATGAGCCCCCCAGCCAACACCCCACCTCCCACCGTCTCCTGGATAATCATCCCATTTACACAGTTTGTCGCATCCTGGATATTCGTCGCCGTGGACGTGGACATCAGTTTCTAGTCGACTGGGAAGGTTACGGTCCGGAGGAGAGGTCCTGGATTCCGAGGTCCTTCATACTGGATCCTGACCTCATCACAACTTTCTACAGGGATCATCCCGAAAAAAAAACTTTGAATCGCCGGGAGGCGATGGTTGAGGAGGGGGTACTGAGGCATTTTGGTGTTTTCACCCCCTGCCTCCCTGATTGGCTCAAGCGCTGATTACCCACACCTGCATGAAGATTGACTCATCAACCCCAAGGCTTCTTAAGGCTGTGCTGAGGATCTTCTCATCACTGAAGCATTGCCTCATTTTGGTATGAGCTCAGCCCGCTACCTGTTGTCAATACCAGAGTTAATCTTACCATTGTGTTTTTGTTATTTACCTGTTTTCAGGAAGCGACCCTCAGTACGTTTGCCTATTGCCTTGAAGACCAGAGCCACTCACCAGGATTTTCATGCGCCGCCATTTTGCCTCCCACAAACCACTGTAAATAGATCTGCACCTGTAAATACTCACCTGTGGATCTCAACCTTTGGACCAACTCCTCCAAGCCTCGTGTCCTTCCCCAGTCTGTAAAAACCCCTCTGAATTACTTACCTGCAAATACTCACCTCTGCTAAATCTCTGTTTCAGGTCCCGTTCCCATTTCCCAGCACCTGTATAATAAAATCACTTACCTTTTGTATATTCTGCCTCAGCCTCTGTTTGTCAATTGTATTTGCTCACGTCGACCTCCACCTGTAAAACCTGATAGAAGGATCCGGCCTACCCGGTCTAGGTGGGCTGGGTCCTTGGTCAACCTTGAAGACTGGAAAAATGTGGCTGTTAATTTGGACAGTCTACCCTCCCGTCCTTACCCCAGCAGATGTCATGTTGCCTAACAACCGTGATGATGCTAAACAGGAGCCAAAATATATTAAAATTATAAAGCCTCTCTTTCTTCTTTCTGCAGATGGGAGGGATTATCAGGTTGGTGAAGTAAAGAAGATGTGAGTTGTGATGATCCACAGACGTTGAAGCAGCAGCAGGTTCTTTGAGAAGAAACTGATTGGATCCTGATCATGATGATTAACTTTAGTTTTTTTATATTTATCAGACTATTATCCATGATAGGTTGACAACTGCTTCTGTGTTGTATTTACTTTGAACCAATAAAACTAAGAATAATAAACTAAGTCAAAATTATTAAAAACATATTGAAAAATCTGTATAGACACTTTGCAGTTTGCAGTGGACTGGGAGTTCTTTGATCATTTTTGGGATGGTCTGTTTTCTTGACTGGGGTTGGGTGGTTTTCGGTCCCGGGGTTCAGTTTCGTCATCGTCCGAGTTTGAACAATAAAAGTGAAAACAAAACAAAAAAAAATCTAACACGCTGTTAGATTTTTTTGTTTCATTTTTGTTGTTTGGACTCAAGCGATGGTGGAGCTGGGCCCCGGCCGGGACTGAGGATCATTTGGCCTCAGACAGGAGAATGGATCGGCCTGGGAATGATCGGGGAGCCTCCGGTCTACTGTGGACTGTGGAGTTTTTGTGTTGTTGTCGCGTGATTGGAGTCGCACATGGAGCGCGTGGCCTGCGGAGCGTGCGCACGGCTGAGGAGTGTGAGGTGTGTGAGGAAACATTTTGGTTCTCACTGAGAAAGAACTCAGCGTGTTCATTCGGAGCATCTAGACTGTGGTGGTTCCTCAGCTCCACAAGATGCAGGCAATAGATTTGTTGCTGCGTAAAGTTGTGTGTAATTTATGGATCAATGTCAGCTGTTCTGCAGGCTGATATCACCACAAGAAGAACTGAAGACAGCGTGTTTTTTGTTTGTTTATTTGTATCACACCAAAAAAAATACAATCAGGTATTTTACTGTAGTTCTGAGTCAAGTCATGCAGCTGATCTGAATGAGAAACTTCATGATTCTAAAATATAAATCCCACTGCAGCAGAAACTCGCAGCGCTGTGACTCGTTCCTTCACTTCAACTATTTCATAAATATTTTTCTAAGTTCTACCAAAGTCATAAGTTTCTCTGTGTTTGCAGTCATTTATTAAAGACGTGTAAAGGTGGAAATGTCTATCAGCCTCATGCGCTGCTGCAGCACACACGCGCACACACCAACACCCACACACACCTTTTAGTGGCAAACATATTTTTACACCCAACAATTTTCTCACTCATTCATTTCTATTTAATGTATAAATTTCCTGCATCTAAAAAACATTTCTGATCCCACAGAGGACAATCTGAGCAGCAGAATCTTATGCTGGACACATTTACATGTATTTTTCGTTTCCCGTCACAGATGTACCCAGACCCTTCAGTTTTCCAATAAACAGTTTTAAAATTATTTTATTGATGCACATCTTTAATGAAAAATCTACAATAAATAAAAGAAAAAGACAAAGAAGCAGCAGCCGAACTAGCAATCTCCAACACGTTTTAAAGAAGCACTACTAAGCAATCCTCATAAATTGTTTAATTTTGACACTATGAGCGAAATGTCTGTTACAGGAAATCACATCATCAACAATTGACGGTTGTAGATTTAAGTTGTAAAATAGTTCATACACTGCTAGCTGGCAGTGTAGTGCATATATAAGGCACAACTTATTGCCAGCAACTGGTGCCAAATTGAACTGTGTAATGAAATTAGCTTCTGCTAATTTTTCTAACGCATGTCTGCTTTTGACGTAACAGAACTAAATATATTCATAAGCGCTTTAGAAATTGCGGAGCTAATTTTTTTATTAGCAGTGCCCACCACTGTTAATAATGAAAATGATCATAAAAACGTGCTTCACCTGGGTTGGAGGAGCATTACTTGAACCTGAACCTTCCATCGGTGGACTGCAGGCACATGTAGAGGATGAGAGTGGAAAAACGGAAGGTCCCTGAAGGAGCCTCAGTTTGAGCCCCGCCCCCCAACTCAAAAACAGTGCCAGCTTGTAACATTGACAAATGAAACATTGAAAAACGAAACACTGAAAAGATTTTGGGTCAGTGTATCTTTTGGTCATTGGTTTTTCATTTTAGAGGTGGGTTTTAAAAAAACAAGAAACGAGTGGTTATTTGATTTTTGTTTTAAAATACTGAAATTAAAACACAAAGCTTTTTTCATTCTTAGTGTCAAAAATATGGAAGCGAAGATGTAACAATATCGTAATTAAAATGGATTAATAGAAATGCTGTTTCATTTTCAACATGTACCTGAC